GACAAAGGGCATGTGCACTTAATATTTTTCCATCCAAAAGAGTTGTCCATGTCCATTTTTAGAACAACTGATTACAACTGTGCACATTAGAAGTATGTATTAGCAATTTGCTTTATGCACCACAATACAGTCAGCACACCATACTATGCACCCCAATACACTCTGCACAAATACTAATCACATCTTATTCTCACCAGATAGCTTCAGCAGGGCAACAGCAGGCTATTACTTGTCTGGCTGAAGGAATTAATATCAATATGGCCCCTTCTGGTCAGGAGCCTTAAAGCATATTTAAACCCAGAAACAAAAATCTAAGCTTCCATTTCAGGTCACAGAAGTGACAAGGAGGAAGGAAGATCAGTAGATATTTTCTGCAACTGTTCCTAGCCTGAAAAAAGAATAACTAAATGTGCCAAGCTAGTTATTCATTTTTCACGTATACACACTCACAGTGGGTGTACATTCTAGTGCCTTGTAGCTGTAACTTTGCTTATTGGCGCAGTTTATTTTAATATATATTAAGGGAGTGGGTAGTGTTTGCTCTCAATCTCACTTGAATTTCTCCCTCCATATATGTATGGGACTAGCTGAACACTAATTTCTGCCCTGTTCCATAGTGGAACTCAAAGACAGATTTTGTCATTATTATTTCAAGTGTATTTCCACTTTTGCAGACAAATCTGTTCCTATGCACACAGAATATTAAAAACATTTTTTTTAAATATGTCTATGTAGATGGCCATTGAAGCTTCTCTGTACAATTCCATAGTGACAGGAAACTCTTTCTGTCACCATAGAAAGACTAGAGACACACTGAGCTTCCTCTCATGCTTCTAAATATTTAACACTTTATTAGGACAGACATTGTTCAAATCTAGTTTATGACTGATAATGGGATCTGCCGGCATAGTAAAGGCAGGGTTAATAAAGTTACAGATGAACCCCCCAACTCCTTTGCATTCCAGTGTAAAATTCATTTCAGAGAAAAACTTTTCTTTCTGGAAAAAGCAAGTATTATGCACGCAACTTAAAAAAAAAAAGTTATGTTATATGAATGAGAACAAGTATAAAATTTGTGTTGTCCCAATTTGGCTACAAAAGTGGAAATGCAATTAAAGAAAATATCTATTTTGCCATATGACTTAATAAGTAACTAATAAAGTAATGTTATTCTTCTAGTGCTAATTACAACAAAAAGTGAAAAATATCCAAAGTAAGCAAATTAAATTAATTTTATCAAATTAATTCAAATTAATCAAATTGCATTTTTGCTTTCATGAATATATGTGCTACACTTTATTCAGCAGAGTTGAATTTGGATCTTTACTACAAAATATCTGTGATTTCAATTTCCTAGGCTGTCTACATGCTAACATTACCATTGTATACTGACAGTAACAAGGGATTTTGATCATTTTGCCATAAGACTATTGAACTACCAATCCATAACTCCATACCTAATTGTTAAGGAAGAAGGTTATAAAACCCTACCAGGATATTCGGTGACCTTGGATAGGTCAACATTGTGCTTGATAAAAACTTTTGAAACATCTCAGTGTCTTAAGGATATTGCTTCAAGTAATGTTCATTTATTTTGTTACAAATGTAAATACTATTGAGCTGAACAGTGTGCTTTCTTTGTGTGTAGGTCACAGGCTGACTTTTTTTGCGAGAAGCCCAACATTAAAAATATTTTTCCTTTCTAAAATGGCATCTCACAATCTAAACTGTTAATATCTGGCATATGATTTCAAATTTGAAAAAGGGTTCCTAGAAAACTACATTACATCAAGCGATACTTTTCTGACATGTACATCAACAAAGAGGAACATCACATCATGGGGTAACCAACTAGGAGAACACATACATATGAAACTGAGTGTTGCTGTAATGATTAATCATTCTTATAAAATACTGTAGAAGCAATTAATAGCCAATGTTATTCCCTTCAAATTTTGCTGAAGACGTACACGTTACGATTAAAGGTTTGCTGACAGAAAAAATATTTCACAATAATATATATATATATATTTTTAAATCTATTGCACTAGTAAAGTTTGTTTCTTTTTGCAAACAACATTAGCTGTGATGTTTCAAATACTGTAGTTGCATGAGTTTTATTCATATTCTACTGCTTTATGTACAAATATTAAAACCAATCATCTCCTTCATAAAAGTACAGTTATATTTTACACAGCAAACAAGTAAATTAAGTGCTCACCTGAAAATTAATCATTCAAAATACAAAAGAAAGGTACAACTTAAGCTTGTACTAGCAGCGTTGTAGCACGGTTTGTTTCTTTAAAGAGAACCAGTCACTAATAAGTATTGCATGAAATTATATTTATTTTGTGTAGATTGTGTTGGTAATGTAAGTACTGTACTGAGTATGTCTCTTCCCTCTTAGATAATCTGGAGTGGTTCCCCTATGCTGTACAGAACCATCTTGCCTAATCAGTGAGATGAAAATCCTCTACCAAGCGTACCACCACCCCTATAAGGTTTATTTGTTATCTTGATGAACGGCCAGGTTCAGTTTAAAGTCAGGAGTTTACTGGAGTAGATAAACTTGTCTCTGTTTGTTGTAAAAGCACCTTTTAAAATGGTACAGCTATGTAAGGTTACTTTTTCTTGCAAAAATAACTGTGATTGGGATATCTGGGGAGATTTAATGGTCATTGCACTTCTTCTTGGTTTGGGTATGCACTATGGGTACACAAAGCATGGTTGTTTTTTTGTGAGCGAGACAAATTAAGCTATTACATTCAGGATGGTCAGACATACGTCACTTGTTCGAAGGAAAAATAATGTGGTAACCAGTCCGCTTGCTGACCCTAAAAAAAGTTTACCTTTCTCCTTTGCATGTCAAAATGTAAAAAAAATTTATATAAAGTTATGGTTTAAATTTTAACTGCAATCATGTACTTAAAGTGACACTGAACTCAGGAGGTAAACCTTAAAAATGCATTCAAGAACCTTAACTATTATCAAAAATGTTTCTTATTTGTGTATCACCCAGCTGTAGATACTTAAATCATCTCTGAATTGGTGGTGACACTGTCCTTCCTTCTGGAGGGGGGCTACTTTTGTTCCCCATGGCCTCTGTGTGTGTTGTAAAGTATCCGCTGCTCCAAGCTCACTCCTGTGATGGACTACAATCTCAATATAAATGAGCAAACTAAACATGAGATTGTAGTCCATCACGGGAGTGAGCATGGAGCGGTGGCTACTTTACAACACACACAGGGACCATGGGGGACAAAAGTATCCATCCTCCAGAAGGAAGGACAGTGTCAGCACCAATTCAGAGATGATTTAAGGATCTACAGGCGATAATACACAAATAAGATACATTTTTGTTAATAGTTAGGGTACTTGAATGCATTTTTAAGATGTAACACCTGAATTTAGTGTCACTTTAAATAATATGTAAAGGCAAAATATTTTATTAACCCCTTCGTGACTGACGACGTACAGTGTACGTCGCCAGCATCGGGGCTGTTTAAACAGACTCCCGGCGACTTTTGCCGCCGGGACTCTGTTTAAACTTGTAGAGCCGACTGTCGGCTTTACAACAGAAGCGATCCTGGCGACTTACCTGTCGCCAGATCGCTTCTGCGTCCCGAAGAAGGGGCCTGTTGTAACCTCATCTTTTATATTTCATTAAAAAAATGGGTAATTTGTTGTGTTTTGGGGCATTTAATTAAATTTGTCACTAAATTTTGGGGTTTAATAAGGAGTTGCGCTAATATTGCGCAACATAAAAATTTTCAACTACCACCATTTTATTCTATAGGGTCTTGGCATTCAGAAAATATATAATGTTGGGGGGTTTTACGTCATTTTCAGGCCTAAAATGTGGAATATAACATGGGTGCAAAAATGGAAAAAAGGGCCTCAGTCATGAAGGGGTTAAAGTTTTGGATTGGAGTTGGGGAAGGATTAGACCCTCTCTAAGGTTTTTAATTGCTCTCTGCTGCTAAATGTGTTCCCACTGGGAACTCTCTCTCTGAGGCAAAAAATGTAATGGAAGATCCGAAATTTTAGATGTCACCAGAACAAAAAGTGTTATGCAATTTCTTTTCTCCATGTATTATCAGTGTAATTTATTTTTTATTGATCATATTGTTTTGTTTAAAACAGAAACATGACTGGTTCTCTTTAAGGTCTGCTAAACCAGAAAAACAGTGTCTCAGTCAATTGACATTTACTGTAGTTACCAATGAAACAAAGACAAAAGTAACTTTACTCATACAGAAGTGTTAAATGTGAAATATGTTCAAATGTTGTCGAAAAAGGGTGTACAGACTATGTAACCATTCAAATTATTAATGATACAAGCAGTGAATATTCCTACAAATGTAAAAAAACAAAAAGCTAAACTTTTCAATTTGTTTATCAGTAGTTACAGAAAGTTCTTATTTCTGGTGTAAACAGCCGTCTAAACTAATAAATACATATATATATAAATTAACAAATCAAACACTATTTGTTATACAAATAAATAACGTGACTCAACCCTTTAAAATAAATGTGAGCTGTGCTTATTGCTATATCAATATAATGTTGAATCATGTAAATAATTAGAGCACCATGTCATGGGAGATTGGGAAGTGTAGCTCTATTATACAATACATCTATCCAACCTTTTTAGCATCTTCCACAAGAAAACACAATTCGCCTCATGATTAAGAATCGGAGGGGGTGAAAAGTGCCCATATTGCTCATAACAACCGATCAAATGTCGTATTTCATTTTCTAAACTACACTAAAAAAATAACAGTGTGACTCTAAGAGGTGGCTAGAGCAACATCCCAGTTCTCCTTTTCTCTAATGCATGAGGCACGTTACGTCGTAATTCAAGTGCACCTTGAAACAAGAAAGTTATATTTGAAAATCTCTAACATAACAAGTTATACATTCATTTTAGGTGTTCACAACCTCACTGTCTGAACAAACAGAATATGTATACACTTATTGTTTCTGACTTTTAATAAAGTGTCAGTGTAAATGTACATATTATTTAAAAAAAATTAGTTTTTCTTCTCCACCGAGCTGAAGAACCATTCTGTAAATTTATGTAGCTGAGCTGAAGCGGTTTGGGATTCCTCTTGAAGCCTTATGTTATGTTGACGCAAATGATGCACTTCAGCCTGTAACATTGCCTTGTGCTCTTTTTCCTGTGAAGAACAAATGGGAAAGGTAAGAAGTAAAATGAAACAAAAAATTCAGCAGGACAGGTATGTCTTGGCAGCAACTTCATAGATACCCCAAAATGCAAGTTTGTTTTGGTTTCACTTAAATTGAGATGAAATATGTGCTGGACACCAGTCTAGATGATATCACAGTGGTGAAGAGTGCAGAGAGTATAATGATGGGCAATGTTGGAAGGAGAGGATTGCATAGGGAAAAATGGTGGGCAGTAGGTGCAGGGGAGGAATAAGAAGGATATGGCAGCTGTTTAACACCTTAGCTAGAGCCCCACTGTGTGGATGCACTCCAGTATGGGTGTGGAAGCAGCTCTTACATTCCCAATCTCTCCTACAGTACGTCTCCTGCTCTCTCTCTCTTATTTTATTATATAAATTATGATCATTTTTTTTTGCAAATACATTTTCATCAAATTGTTCAAGAATAAAATGCAATACAGAAACGGAGAAACAGGAAATAAAACATACAGTGGATCCTTAACAATGTGTCATTGTAACAAAAGTCCCAAATGTGAGACGAATAAGCAATAAAAGAAATATTGATTTCAGTAAAATAGAAAAAGGAAAATACAAGTTCGAACAAGAAAAGAAATCAGGTCATGATGTACCAGTATATATAGTCACCAAGAATTACATATCAGTAAAAAGAGATATATGTGGAATATTAATATGTTCTAGGTAAAGAGTACCAAGTTGTCCAAGGTTCCCATAGTTTATCAAACTTATGTACATCTAGTTATGGTCAGTGTGGCAGTCAGCAAGATGTGAGTGACCACTATGTGGTAAGGATGGGGGATACTCTAAATACCCAAGCTCAATAATGCCAAACCTGGAGTAAAATCCACAGGCGCACCAACAATCGTGGTAATAATATGAAATATAAAGATATGGACAGGACCACAATATATGTAGTAAGTTGCCAACCTGACCACAGTTTCTTCAACATAAGTTAGAATTTAACCTAGAGATTTTAACTAAACGACGGGAATCATTAACTTTATAGTAAAGATATGGCCAAATTTATGAATAGCACGTTGAACTGCCACCAGGGAAGACAAGGATGCCTGTTGTGAAGTGCTACCACGCAGCAAGGAAGCCGAGGATGCCAGAGAAGAAGATCCGTTGCCATCCGGGGCCTGCCTCGTAGCCGCCGCTCTTCTTTACGTTTCCGTATCATCTCACCGGGTGTTGTCGAGGGGTATAGATGTGCAGGAAGCACATTTTCAATGCCCAAAGGCTTGTTGGTGAGTTCCTGCTGCAGATAGAAGCGGAGCACAGAGACTACACGTCCATGCTGTCCGTGTGCCAGCCACGCCTCGCAATAATTATTATTTGAATTACTATTATTTCAATAGGGAGATTTAAAGGTTCAGGTGATTTAAAATATGTAGGATTCTTAGGATTACAAGCATAACTTTTCCTTAATTATTCAACAAAAATCAGCAAAGAAAGGAGGTAACTAAAATACTTTTTATTACTGATCCTCCCTCACATAAAATAATTTGATTATAAGAAATTATGAGCAATAGTGAAGACTTTGGAAGAAGGGTACACATGGACCCATTTGTGTCCCATACTTTATTCAACAAGTACAATGATCTATTTTTCAACTACTGACAGGACCCTGTAATATGACAACATTTTGATTAATGAGCAGGGAGGATAAATATCAGTTGGCAAGTCACAATGACATATACTGTAGATGCAGTGGGTTTTATTTATTAAAGGCATATAGGCTGTTCACTTTGCAGGGGAATTGTTTCCTTAGCTTGGTGAATGTGGTGAACTTTCACATTGAATGAATACCCAATCACGTGAAAGGGAAAAAAAACTGTTTAGTTTGTACATGATTGGAAGATGGAAGTCAGCAGAGCTTTACCTCTAAACTAAGAGAAACTTCCCCTGCAAAGTGCAAATTCCCTTGCAAACTGAACAGTCTAGCTGCCTTCCATAAATCAACCCCAGTAGACCAGCAAATACTTTTCAGGCTTCATTTCTGTAAACACATTCTTCACAGCCTTCCGTTTATATTTTCTATGAAGGTGTTGCTTGGTCCAGAATTGCATGAATACATTATTGATTCTGGATTTTTCATTTAAATAAGGCAAGGCACCAGAATAAAGACATATTTGGCTGTCCTTCTACATATTCCAAAAGATCCAGCATTGGAGACATTTTCAGTTGGAGACATGTGTAATGCGGTTCCATGACACTAGGAGATATGATATGCAAGGCATTCGAAAACATGGCACAGGGAGGTACTATGCCGTCAGTCATCCCGTGTGTTTGATGGGAGAAGTGCTGATATCACTGAAAACGTCCTCCCTCAGTGTACACGAACTTCTGGTGACACCACAAGTAGAAGAATTACCACAATTTTAATAATAGTGATCTGCAGGCTTTTGTTAAATTATAGCAATATGGTTTCCAAAACAAATAGTGATGACTTAGTCCATACTTGGGCAAATGTGGCACTACGAGGGTAACACAGGCCATGTACGGGTCATGAAAGGGTCCTAAATGTGTTTTGAACCATCTACAGTATCTTTAATTTTTAAAGGGACTCCTCAAATTTGAAGGTAAAGTGAGTCTAAACCCAAAAATGAAAATGGAATATACTGCAGATTACATGTATTTTTTATGTGGTGGCAGTATTTGTTTTTTTTATTCATGCTAACTATGTTTTGTGCAAGTACAGATAATGTTGGTCCTGATAGAAATTCAGTATCCTTGTAACGGCATTTGCATTAAAGTGAAATCTCAAACAATATTATCCGCTTTCCACAATATCTTCTCTCAGCTACAGAACCCCCCCCCCCC